GAGCACCCAGCCCCTTTGTCTCCTCCGCCCCCCTCCCCACTTCCTGCCCAGCTTTAAACTCGGGATCCGCGGCGCGCCGATGTCTCTGTAAACACGCCGCCCTTGCGGGGGTGGAGCCCGCTTCTGTTTGGGCGCCCGGGGGAGGGGAGCGCTCCCTCCTCTCCTCCGGTGGCTGCGACCACCCCTAGTCCCCAAAGACAGAAGCCAGAGGCGGCGGGAGACAGCGTCTGCGACCACGGTCGGGGCTCCGGGGGGCTCACCTGCCAAGGAGGTAGGCTTGGGGGCTGGAGGAGCCAGGGTCGGTGGGATGTCAGCGTCCCCCCCTTTCGCTGGGGCCTCGAAACTTAGGCCGGAGACCCCGAGGCGGGGATCACAGCTGGGTGGGTCCAGGGGGTCGACGCGCCCTCGTCACCTCCTCCAAAGCTTGGCTCACTTTCCCATTGAGTGAGCTGTTCTGCACGGAGTTGAAGGGCAGAGAAGCCCCCAGAGGTCCTGGGCCCTCTGTGCGTGCACACATCCACGCTGCTCCACTCCAAGCTGATCTGGATGCCCGGTGGCTTTGCCCAACTGTTCCTGTCCTTCATACCTCAGAGGTAGGGGTGAGCAGGCGGGCAGACCAGTGTGGGTGGGGAGCTGTGGGCGCTTCTGCCAGTGCACTGGAACCAGACGGGACTGGAAGGAGGGGACCCCTGAGCGTTCCTCCCTCAGTGGTGTCTGATGGGTACATAGGTAATGGTCTTAGCCACCTCTGTGTCTCTTAAAGTATCAACAGGAGGAATGACTGACGCAATCAGTTGATATTCCTAAGGGAGCATTCGTTCGTTTGTGTGCATTGACTGAACAACTACTACGTGCCTGGCATGGTGTAGGGTGCTGAGGATGCAATGATGTCCTTCATCCATAGCTAGCATGGGTCACAGAATGACAGAGATAAGGTACCAAGTGCTCTGGCTGAGGTGACTGGGAAGGCTTCGGAGAGAAAGGGACATTTGAGTTGGATTCTGAAGGATGAATAGTTTACCAGGAAGAGAAGTTGGTGGGAAGTTTTTGACGACACTCATTCATTCCTCAGAGCCCGGCTACCCCCCTGACTGTGGTGTTGGGCATTGGGATACAGTAGCCACCCAGAAACAATTACTGCTCTCTTTAACCCACTGTCTAGGTGTAAAGAGGTGGGAATGAACAGGATGAATTCAGGGCAAGGCAATTTTCTGGGCTGGTTCCCACCTAAGAACCCAGGAATTCCCCGCTGGGTGCATGCATGCAGTTGAGAGGGTCCACCTGGGAGTGATGTGAGGGTTCACACACCTCAGCGCACCCACTCCCTGTCCCTGGACCCTGGGACTGTTTCCTTTGACAAGTCATTGCCCTCTGCCCAACACCTCCATTCTCTTTGGGACCAGATGTGGGTAAAGTGGACAGCCTGTTGCTTCCCCACACACTCTTCTCCTCTTTCAATTCTTGGGCTCCTTTGAAAAGCAACTGGCACAACAGTTATAAATGCACGCATCACCTGTTTGCTGTGGCCATACTCCATCTGCACAGGCTACCTGTTGGGGATTCCGTGGTAAACATAAACTTCCATCCCCTGGAACTTAAAACTGATGGCGCCAGGCTCAGTGGCTCAGCCTGTAATCCTGCACCTTTGGGAGGCTGAGGTGAGTGGATTGCCCGAGCCCGCGGGTTCGAGACCCGCCTGGGCAGGCAAGATCTCATCTCTACAATAAAATCAAAAAATTAGCCGGGCGTGGTAGCGCGCACCTGTAATTCCGGCTACTCGGAAGGCTGAGGCGGAAGGATCGCCGGAGCCCAGCAGTCGAGGCTGCGGTGGCCGGGAGCAGCTACTGCACTCCAGTCTGGGCGACAGAGTGAGACTCCAACTAAAAAAAAAACAACAACAACAACAAAAACCTGATGGCATCTCTGATGATTCCAGCAAGGTCCTAGTCTATGCCAGTCATTGAGTTCACTTCCATGGTCCCAAGCACCTTCTCCTTTCTGCTTCCCGTCCCTCAAGGACTTGAGTGCTAGCTAACAGTTATATAGCACCATCAGATACTCTCCTAAGTGGTTTAGAGATGATATCTAATTTAATCCTGCGAATAGCCCTGTGAGGTAGGCAATAGAATTATCTCCATTTTATAGAGAGGAAAAAAAAAACGCAGGCGCAAGAGGTAGTTAATCTTCCTAAAGAGGACACAAGAAGTAAAGGGCAGAGCTGGGATTTAAATCCAGGTCCCTGGATGTGGGAGACCCTGTTCTTAACCGCTAGCCTGCCTCCTAGATGGAGCACATCGAATGTGCACTTGGGACTTAGGAGATTCCTGAAGGGAGTCTGTGGTCCTATGTGGTCCTGAATCATGGCTGATAAAGAGGAGTGTGAGAAGCAATCTGTTAGCTGAGCTTGGGTGCTGGTGCTGTTTGCAGTGAGCCCAGCAGGCCTGAGATAGGGTTGTGGATGGCACAGGGCTGGTGTCCTTTCCTCATGGCTGTGTGTGTGTGTGTGTGTGTGTGTGTGTGTGTGTGTGTACATGCGCGCACCTCTGGGTAAGCCTCACTCACCAAGAGGAATGTAAATAACTCAAGAGGAGTGAACCAAGGTCAGATGCAGGAAAGAACTTCTCAACATGAAAGTGATGGGCCCGAATCTGGGGATGTGGGGAAACCAAGACACCTCTTTTGTCAGGAATCTAAGACAAGCAGAAACCCTCATTCTAGATCCCAAGAGGAACATTCTGGCTTGGTAGCTGAGTAAGGAAGATGACCAGGGAGTGGGGGCGATCCTAAGATGCTCACCACCTCTCTTCCCCACAGCTCATGCTTCTCAAGGTGCATCTGTGAATCTGAGCCGTCCCTCCATGCAAGCTGGGACGATGCCCCTGTTGCAAGCCAGGAGAGAGGGCAGAGTGTCTGTGCGTTCCAGCCATTTTCCCCCCTCCTTCCTGAAACTCAAGTTTCTTACAAGGCCCCGTCTGCAGCAGGTCTGGGGCGGCCCTGAGGCGGCCCTTCTCTACCTCTAGCCAAACCACCCCATCTTTGAGAGAGGGCTGAGTTTTGTGGGGGATGGAGGTTGATGACTGGCAGTCGATGGCAGAGGGCGGGAATAGGGTAGAGGGTGTCTGCTCTGAGATTAGCAGGTAAGCAGGATGTGAACATTCGGAACGACACACCCCCTGCTCCTGGTTAGGTGGCTACAGTGGAGCCTTGACACACCCGGGCCCCCTGCCCCGGGCGCCTGCTTGGCTGTGGGGAACAGGTTGTACTTTCGAGAAACCACAAGAGGAAGTTTAGGGAGGCCTGGGGGTGGGGAAAGTTCTGGGGCCCCTGCCAAGTTTCCCTTTCCCTGCTGAGTGGTAGGTGTGTTTATCTTGCCCACAAAGGCATTTAAATTTTAAACCCTCTGAGTTTCAGAGCAGCGTCAAGGCCAGCATCAAGTCCTGTGGGTGGCCAACGGACACCCCCAGAAGTGGGATTGGAACACGTTACCATGTGCTGGATTTCACCTGGAATCCATGCTGGTTGGGAACGGCTAATTCCAGAATTCTTCCTTTTCTCCTCTCTCTGCCCCTTTGTCTTTGCCCCCAGCCACTCCCTGCAGCCTTTGAACTCTGAGGAATGTGGCCTGTAGTGGCCCCTTA